TGACTTGTCTCGCTTTTGTCGGTTTGCTGACGCAAAAGCGAGGACGCGTGTCCAACGCGATTTTTGACGGAAAAGAGAGAGGCGCGTGGATCGTATATATATGTTTTGAATTGTATAGATGCCATTTATCACTATCATTCTCCTCCTCCTCCTCCAGATTCTGACCCATGATTTCCTTTTGATAATGTCATAGGAGAAGAAAATTATATGATGTTATGTATTATGGTATTATTTTCAAACTAATCCGATATTATGTATTTATAATTTGATATCTTAATCTTATATCGTGTTATTGATTTAAACTTATTTATTACACATGTGTTAACCTATGTATTTAGAAATGAATTCAGGGAGCATGACTTGAGGGGGAGCCTTTGTTACTCCAAAATCAAATCAAAACATCATTGTGTACCATCATAAAAAAAGAAGAGATTGTTAGACTTATTTATTTTGATGATTTATTTAATTATGCTTTAATTTATTTGAAAGAGAAAAATAAAATCCAAAATTTATTTTGATGGTTTATTTAATTATATTTTAATCAAAATTTATTTTGATAATTTATTTGAAAGAGAAAAATAGAATCAAAATTTATTTTGTCCGATTATTTCTTACCTAAACTTTTATCCTAAATGTTGTTAGAATGTATTTAATATTTGATTAAATCAGGAGTTCAAACAGCCCAAAACAAAGGTTCAAATAGCCTAGCACAGCAACAGACCAAAAGGTTCAAAAGGTTCAAATAGAAGATATTCAAATTAGTAATGATGGAAGTACAACGACTATAAACGGCTATAAAGGTTCAAAAGGCCAAAAGGTTCAAGTGGAAGATATTCAAATTTGTAATGATGGAGTGGAAGATATTCAAATTGGTAATGATGGAAGTACAACGGCTATAAATTCAAATGATTACAACGGCCATAAACGACTATAAATTCAAATAAATACAACGGTTATAATTTTCATTATATATGTAACGCCCTCAAATTTACAACATTAATTCATCAATATAAACATGCATTGATATACAAAAATTTCCACATTCTTCTATTCATCAGAGTTCCAATACCAAAAGTATTACATGTTAACAACAAAAGCAAATGCCCTAAAGGCTTACAGCTTTCCAAGTTAACACTTGGTTACAATAAAAGAGTGCTAACTCAATTACACATTAAGCCCTCGGCTTGAGTATACATGTAATACAAAAAAAAGATATAAAACACAAAAGCCCGCCTGCCTCTAGCCTCCCATGCTACGTCCTTGGAGGTGGCATGCTACCTGTACCTGAAAATGATGTTCCCATAAAGGGTGAGCCACAGCCCAGTAGAAATACACTAAACCAAATATGGACAATGACTAAAAGATTAACAGTAGATAGATGGCCAACAGTGATACTTTCTCTTATCACACTTTACAGTTTCATGACATACATGTCCATATTACAGTCCATTTTCCAATTCCTTTCAACTCTCAATTTACAACCATGGCTCAGAACCTGGCCATCAACTCATATGAGACAGTAACTCATATCAAACACTTCCAATTTCATAATAGATAAGCATACTAGCTATATCACACAACAACAGATAAGCATACAAGCTATATCATCACTTCCACAGATATGCATATGAGCACTATCACACTTCCAATGACAAGCATATGAGCTCTGTCAATACATTAATAGATAAGCATATGAGCTCTATCTATGGAGTCCATCCCCTATCTCCTCCCAACACATCAGGTTTAGAGGTCCATCCCCTATCTTCCCCTAAACCGCGGAGTACATCCCCTATCTCCTCCAACACAACACAATGCATATAAACAATAATTATACACGCCATCAACCAATACATAACATTTAATGTATTCATTCAACCGTCATACTCAATGACACATTCCGGTGGTTAGTTTTAGTTTGCCTAATCATCATGCATTGTCTACAACAACCAAGACTATCCTCCACTGATAGCCCAAAGCAGTTATTTCTATACAGAAAATAAATGCAACAAATGGATATAAAATCGACCCAAAACTTTTAAAACTTTTGGAATCAAAAAAAAAAAGAAAGAAAGTATTTTCACTTGTTTTCAAAATTAGTTTTCACTCTCCCCTGCCCCCATCACCTCCACCTGCCACCACCAACCACCATCAGTGTCCCTCCGGCGGGCTCCAGCTATTGGGCAGTCATCAGTCGGCAGTGACCCTCCTGCGACGCTCCGCCTACTCACCAAACATGTTTATTCATTTTTGTTTTCAAACGACACCTTACATGTTGTCTAACCAAACTTTGTAGACAGGAAGGTTCCAACCCATTTCGTCTCAACGAGACATGGAAGCATTTCCTAATCAGTCAGGGGAGGCAAGCACTGATGCTCTGCTTCGACTTCAGAAGCGTACTTGTTAGTTCAACACTGTACACGCTTTCGAGGACGATCATTATGTTAAGCTTATCTCATCTGTTTCTAATGCTTGGGATGAACACTGTAGAATCCCAAACTCCGTTTGAAAAAAAACCTGTATCTTTGTTAGATTCTGAGATTTTAGGAAGCGAAGTGATAACAACAAAGTCCCAGATATTTGCTGAACAATTAAAAGATTTGATAACTTTTGATGGAGAAGAGAAATTACCGAACCCTGCTGACAAGACTTTTAAGCTAGGAGATGATAATGAACACGGAAACGATGTTTTATGTGACGACCATCAAAGGATAGATAATATGATAAAGGATAACATAGTGGGTTTTGTTGAGCAGGCTAAAAAGATCCAGCTGGATGAGTCCTTTGTAAGCAGTTCAGGTTTGGTTAAGAGGAGATGAAAATATTGAAGAAGACTTTCTATTTAACTTGTATATGTATAACCTCTCTAAACTATTTTGTGTATGTTTGGGGCTTTTACATTGTTGTATGTGTTTTGCATTGTTTTGTTTTCCCTCTGGGTCTTGTGTTGCTATGTACAGGATTTTTAGATAGCGTTAGACTGTAAGATTGATATGGAAACTGGCCAATGTTGTATCGATGGTTTTTCACCTCTGCTAGTTTTATTAAATCAACAGTCTGGTATAGGAATAAGGGGCGTTTTGTTTACTGAAATGATTTTAGGCATCAATGGAATGGAGAGATTGGAATGGAATGAGATAGGAATCGCTATTCCCATTTCAAAGTTTGGTGAAATGCAGGAGGTAGGGATGGCAATTTGACACGTCCTGCCCTGACACCGTATCTCCACTCTTAACTCGCCCAAATTTTTCCTATCGTGATAAGAAAATGAATAGGAGATGGGATTTGCTTCTTCCGCCTTGTTTTTTCTGCTTCGTCTCGATTTTATTTATTACAAACTTTTTATGTGTATTTTCATTGTTTACATCTGTATATGTCAATTATATATGTATATATATATATATATATATTTAACTCTCATTATTCATCAGAGTGCACATGCATTAGGAGGAACACTCTTCAGACTCTACAGGTCCAAAATATTGATATGTCATTCATATGCCTCATTGTTTACTTACAGAAGTTTACCTGTGCAACATGTGTAGGGTTGACAAAGACAATTCGAAATCATGAATTCTCTTAATTAAATTACACTTATTTCAAATTTGTTTAAATTCTTTTGAATATATAAACAAATTTGAATATCTTCTAAATCTAATTAAGATTAAGTTTGAATGAGTTGGACAATGGATACCGTCACCACCACCACTAAGTACGTCATTGTCATTGTCAGTCTCTATTGCCGCCTCCACCACCATTGTGTCACTCCTCCACTACCCTCGTCACCCCTCCACCACCATGAGAAAAAGAATTCAATAAAGTAAATGAATTAGACAGGTTAATTTGTCTAACTTGAACCTAATTCACCCATTCGGTTTATTAGATGGGCGGTTTGAGTTATTCTATTGCATAGCTTGTTTTGATCCGCTTTAATCAACAGGTTTGTCACCTTTAAATATGTGACAACTACAAAGTTATGAGAACGAATATATTTTAAGAATTTGATTTCTCTCTAATTAGATTCAAAATGGACTTCACAAATCCAACAACACTAAATTGAACAAGAAGTTTTGATCTATGATGGCTGACGATGATAGTCTTGCAGATATAAAGCAAATTTTGATGAACTTATGAACACTTTTTTTATAATCTTAATGAATTAAGATGCATATATACAGACATATCTTTTTGTCATTTTCTTGACAACTGTAAAATATAATGTTCAAGATATTCCAACAGGTCACGTGATTGCTCTAATGGTGAGATTCCATGAGAGAATTGATTAAAGGAATGTATGTCCCAATTGCATGTTTATTAATTACTAGTCCAGAATGATTTTATTCAGATCTTGGGTTATATTTTATATTTCACCATATTTAAATACTTCAAAATTAGACCACATCTTAGGCCATTCACCATTTTCTAAGTACAAACCCATCCAGTGTGGTGTCCAAAGGCTTATTTATATTTCTAAGGGATTTGGTGATAGCATATTATTGAGTTCCAGTCTTATGAGTGTGAGATTCATATTCATTAATCTCGAATCATTAGTTTTTTACTACTATACCCGCGATGGGATTAAGAGCAATAGCATAAAGAAAAAGCCTATTTGTGAACTTATTTAAGCCATTCCAATTTATCTGAAGTCAAATTTAAAAAATTTCAATTTATCAAAGACTTCTATAGTTGAGTTTAAAATCAAGTTTAAAAAAATTTAATTTAACAGAGACTTTTATAGTCAAGTTTAAAAAATATTGTCATGCATAGTGCCAATCGCCCCCTCTCTACCTTTTATTACTCGGTAAAAGGTGAATAGTGCAATAATTGTGAATGACTATCGGTTTGGGGAAAAGAATGTTATTTTTTTCAAAATTTTCATATAGAATTTACGAGAGTAATTTGTCAATGACAACTTTGATAGTAAGAAATATTTTATTACAAAAAAAAAATTTAAGAAATATTTTGAAAGGACTTGAAAGTGATGGTCTCATAAATCTGTTATATGGAAAGGGAGAAGTACGTATCTTCAGTATAAAACCAAACATTCAAGAGAACAATATCCCACCAATTTTCTTTCATAGAACTGCAAATTTTCTTAGGACTACAAATCTTTGCATCAAAGCTGCTCCCACAATTTTTCCACTCTCCAAAATGATATTTTTCATACTACCATACCCTAAAATTTAATAACATTTATGAAGTTGAGATGATTTTGAAATGCCAAAAACTTTGTTTTCATGTATATATGATTAATACCCATTAGTATGACCCATAGAACTACTTCGAGTGCGAAAATTCCGGTTTTCAAGAAAGGAATTCCCATAATCCAACGGCTTTATTACCATGGCCTCACGCTTTGCATCCTGCTCCTGAACCGCTCCAAACACGACCTCATTGGTTTTCTCAAAACTCTGCTCATAGTAAGTTTGTGGGGGCGATGAATGATACTGGTGATGATGATGATGTTGTTGCTGTTTCTGCTGTTGCTGCTGGAAATCACCGTCCCATCCGCTATAAAAAGCATGGCTCTGCCGGAGCTGTTGCATTTTCTCGGCATCCTTGGACATGAATGGGTACATTTTGCGCGGAGTAGGGGTTCTGGTTTCAATAGAAGGAGGCTCGTCTTCATCTCGAATCACAAAGCTCTCTTGCACTGGCCAAGCATTTAAATATTTGTGCTGTTGGGGTTGTTGATATTGATAGCTTGGCGACTTCTTTCTAAAACCTGGAAATATCCCCGTGAAGATTTCTGTGACTGATGCCCCAGTGTTGACAAGAAGCTTGCCAAGAGATCCAAATAAGCCTTCTTCTTGCTTTTCCTGATCATCTTCGGTTGGAATTAGTGGTGGCCTCACTGAAGATTTCATAGACTTCTGATATGGACTTGGAGGAATGCTCTGTTTTGGTGTTGTCTCATCCTCCTTCAGGAGCAAAGATAGAAGGAAAACAATGTGTTACTGTCATATTGCTGCAAAAGATACTGGAATTTTGTTTTATTTTATTGTTGTTATTTTTTATGGATCTTAGGAAACATAAGGTTGTGCTTTTAGGGAAGCAAAAAAGTCCATCTAGACACTATGCTATGTTACATGAACTCTGGTGCAAGTATCAAGTGCAGGTGTGAGTCCAAACGTTAAACCTTAATATTTGGATATTGTGATATGTATCCAAATTTGGATATGGACATGTTTGAAATATTTAAAAATATTCTAATGAAAGACGTTGTAAATTATTAGGAATATAATTGAAATTATATGGGACTTGGGGGAAAAAGAGAATTTCTATCTCTCAACCATAGAAGGATTTTTTACTACCAAATCTAAGATTCTTCTTCTTCAGACATTGTAAAAATTAGATTAATTTGGGTGCTGGTGTCTGACACAAAATTTCACACCCTTACCCTTGTCATATCCGGTCGACACAAGTGCACTAGAAGGAATAGAAGAGTCCATGCAGCGCTGACCTCATGCAAAAGATGCTAATAATAACTGAGTTAATGCATAATTTAGGATAACTAGGGGAGTACATGTGTTCTAGAAAGTGAAGTTCTCACCGTAAACAAATCATTTTGGTACCCTCAGTTTTATAAAGGTTTTCCTTCAATACGAATATGAGTAAGAAGTCGTAGAACTTTCCTCGGATATACTTTAGTGTGGAACTAGAACTATCAAAATGAGACTGGATTTATAACTCACACTTGGGGGAGACACTATGGTACCAACCCTTCGTTGCAGCAATGCCAGCATGTAACCGAAGAAGCCAGCTGCCACAAGCACTGCGATTCCTGCAGTGAGGTTTAACATCTTGTAAAACTGTAATTTAATAAAAATAAAATTATAAACTTGGTGCGGTAATTTTACCAAGAGGGAAACCACTTCCATATTGGTAAGCACAATCATCAAAATGCAGTTGAATCTCCCGGATTGCCTGGTTTCCTCTGTCTATGACAAGGAGGGAGCAACTACTTCCAATGTAAACCACATCAAAATCATTTGAAAACTTTGCATCTTCACTCGGTCCATCTACATGCCCCCCTCCACGACCCCATTTGCCTCCTGCTATTGTTGTAATCCCTGCACAAAGAAAAATGGACCGCTTTGGCATTTGAAGTCTACTATTTCTGAGGTTTCACATGATCGATTCAAACTCTCAGGGACAACAAAAGGTAAGGTCATCAAAAAAGTTCTTACTACTTTTACTAGAAATACGACAATGATAGCCACAAAGGACGGTATCAGCGCCATTAAGAAATGCTATGTTACATGGACTCTTTTAAATTTGTGCAGTGCTCCCGCATCAAACACTTACACTTAGGATAAAAGATTGGGATGTGTCTAATATGCCTAGCTGGATATACAACCAACAAATATGTATACAATTTATTATATAGCTATGCATAAAACTTCCATGTTATATATGAAATGCTATTTTTTAGTTTGTATACATATTTTACCATTAAAAAACAAGAGGAACATTTAAAAAATATGAAATCTAGTCATGTATTAGTGTCCTTAAATTGACAACTAGTTGAACACTTAGACATATACCCGCACCTGACACCCCTATCCGAATACATGTAAAATAGAAAGAGATGAACAATGGAGAATGAAAGGAACATGATTATCTCCAAATATTTTTATAAGACAATGCTGGTAGAGAGAGAAAAAAATAAAAAATAAACTCCGACCGGTGGGAATGATCAAACAAACATGAGTTGCATTTATGATTTACCTGCATCACCTATTTTCCTGATCGCCATATTCATAGTATCAGCAATATAAATGTTCCCTCTGTCATCCACTGCGAGTCCCTTTGGGTGGTTCATCCTTGCCTCCCTAGCTTTCCCATCTATATGTCCAGAGTATCCTTCAGCAGATCCAGCAACCAGCCTCGGTCGGCTATCTGCAGCTCTCGAGCAATTTTATCAAAAATTTAATTTGACAGAGAGATCTTCAGTATAAGACTCAAATAGACCATAACAATGGCATGGAAATGGAATTTTGTTGTGGTGTATATCAGCATGAGCTAGACTAGGGACAGTTCAAGCTTCAATTCAAATTTCCATGTAGAAGAGACAATGCAATTTGGCAAAAAGGCATATTTAACCTCTGAGATGCCAATTCCAATAAAGTATGAAAGAAATATAGTACATTGCATCAACATTGAATTTGAATATGAACTTGGTGCAGAAGCTCAACTGTGATCATACATAGCTCCATAAAAAAAGAAAATTATCAGAAATGAACAAAAAAAAGAAAAGAAAAAGAGCCAAAAAGTGAAATGCCTCAGAAAATAAATCAAAAGGTTCAATGTAATAAACAAAGTGGAAAATTCTAGTACTAACAAAAGCAAATCTGAGATGTCCAAAGTGTACTAGTTAATAATGATGAGCTGAGCTTTCACTTATTAAAAGGATATACATAAGACAAGAGGTCATAACAATATCAAGCCCAAATATGCAAATCTCCAAACAAACAACTCATTTTTAGAATCTGATGCTATGATTTTCCACAAACAAACCAAAACCCACTAAAATCCTGACAACTACCAATGTACTAAAACAAGAAAAATTAATATAAAAAATCAAAATTAAGGAAATAGTTCAAGAAATTAAGACAAAATTCAACAAAATAAGACCAGCCCAGTAAAATTTCAACAAAACCCACTTACATTGAGACAAAGGAGAAGAGATCTTGTAGAGATTACTGTTAGCAGAGTCCAGAACCAAGAGCTCTCCACTGGGCAACACCTCCACAGAGTATGGCTCAATCCCAAGCTTACTTCCATCAAACACAGTCTCAACAATATACCCACTCTCAAACTTCATCATCGGACGGCCAGTAATTGCTGAACATCAAAAATCACACAAACCCCACCATTCCAGATTAAAATCAGCAAATCAACAAACTATCAAAAAATAAAAGCCAATGTTGGTTGTAGCAGAGTATCATCAGAGATCTATACCTGTTTTGGTGGTAGCTGTAGCTTTGAGTGACCACAACCATTTCATCAGAACAGAGGCAACACTTGAGAGAAACCCACTAACAATCTCTGCAAAAAATGAGTATATATATATGCATTGTGTACCCATCAGAGAACAATTGAAAGCTCAAAAGTTGAAACTGATCAAATTGAATGCATATATCTATGTGGGTGTGTACTCACTTGCAGGAGAAGTGGCTTGAGCTGATGAGAAACCACCAAACAAGACCACAAGGGTGAGGGCCAACACCAGCACATTCTTTCCCATTGCTCTCATTTTCCGGAGAAAGTGTGAGAAAAGTTCAGGAGTAAAGATTCAAGCACTCCACATCACATGAAACCCTAATTCTTGTGCAGAGAATGGGTTTGAAGCTAAAGAGAAGGCAGTGAAGAGTGTGGTTTTTTTGGTTCAAAAAAAAAAGAAGAGTGTGGTTTTTTAATGGGTTTTTTAATGGGTTTTTTTTTGGTTCATCAAGAAAAAGAAAGATTTTTTTTTTTTTTTTAGAGAGAGAGAGAGTGAAAGGAGAGAATGAAGAGACAAAGGTTGGGAAAAAAGGAGAGAGAAAAAGGTAGAAAAGCAAGAGGGACCAGTGAGTGGTGAGATTACAGAGAATCATATGCTGTGAATTGAATGTGTGCTTTTAAGGCCCATTTATTTGAGGAGATAGAATGGAGGGGATTGATAGTGAAAGAAATAATAGTGAGGGAATTATTAGTGAGGGGATTAATAGTAAGGGAATTGATAGTGAGAAAATTAATAGTGAAGAATTGTTAAATTATTTTATATAAAATAATAAGACAAATAAAAAAATATAAAAAATTAAACATTATATTTAAAAAAAAAATCTCAATATAAAAAAAATAAAAAAATTTCTAATCCTTTCACTATTTTTCTAATACCATCTTTACCTCCTCCATCTCAATCCCTCTTCCAACCTCCATCTATATCACCTCCACCATCTTAATCCCCTCCCCAACTCTACAAACAAATACAACACTAAATAACCCCATCTCTATCCTAATTCCCTCCCATCTATTTAACCTCAAAACAAACGGGCCCTTAATGTTTTCCAAAGCTAGTGTAGAAGACATTCATAATGTTTACTTGTGGTTTGCATTTCTGGAATGTCAGTATGCGCTACTAATTTTTTTGAAGTTTTTGGGATCTTTGCTTAGCTATATCATTGTGATATTTTGTCCAGAAGGAAAATGCACTGACTAAATTTTTGAGTGATTTAAAAGAAAAGGCTTGATTTTTGGAATGGGGCTTGTAACCCCAAGCATATATTGAATCTGCTAATTCTTTCTCATCTGAGGCCCCGTTTGTTTTGGGGTATGAGAGGGGGATTGAGATTAGAATAGTTGTGGGCCCCATTAAACACCATGGCAGTGTACAAACATAACAATTTGAAGCGAAACAAGAAATTGAAATGAGAGGAACAGTGGCTTACCGAGGAAAATAAGGCCGGTGTGAAGTATGCTGGTGTCAGGCGGTGGCAGTGAGCAAAGAAGTGCAGCAAAAGCCTCGCCGGAGGGGGAGAGTGAAAGTGGTTGTAGAAAGCTTCACGAAAATCAGAAATGGAGGATTTGGGAGGGAAGGTTGGAGAGAGAACTTGCACGAAAATGGTGGTGAAAAAGTGAAAAGACAGAGAGAGAGAGAGA